CACCAGGGTGGACATCAGGGACATTAAGATCTTTCTTGTATAGTTCTTCTGTGTATTACAAATGATACCCATCTTAACCAAGCAAAACTACCTCCCCTCCCCTCTTCAGAAATCATTCTTTTCCTGGATCATCCCTGTTCCATGCTGCTTTTCTTCCTGCCTGCCTGCCACATGCCAAAGAAGCGGAATGAAGTACTGCTGCCATTTATAGACATTTTGCACCATTATTTGGTCATCTACTTTTTTGTATACTGCTAGTTATGCCAGTTGTTGCCTAGATAAATCTTCCACAGCTTGACGTCCTTCAGATGTGATGGACTACAATCCCCATAATTTTCAATCAGGATATTTATTCTTCCTGGGAGTAACAGAAGTTGTCACACAACACATCTGGAAGGCCCCAGCTGAGGACCTCTGGAGGAGGTATGGCAAACTGAAGATGTATCTGCGAAAGTGGAGCTGGTAACCACAGCAAAGACCAAAGAACTGGTGAATAGACCGGTTCTTCTGAACCTCTCTGGATAAGGAGAGGGTGGCAGATCACCCACATGTAATCTGGACAGGTGCTCCTCACGAGGAGACTGCAGGACAGCAGTCTTCCTCACGTTTGAGCACCAGGAGATGAAGGGATTAGCCACCTTGCATGCAATCATGGCAGAGCCTTTTAAAGGACACTAAGTTCACAAGCCTCACTTTCTAACCACTTTTGAAAATTGCCTATTAACCATCTTAAAACTATTAGAGACATTCAACTCACCTGGACAAAAGAAAAATGAATTACAAGCTTAAGTACTTAAAGAATTTGAAATAAACAGCAAAAGCTAAGTAAGATTTTGATCTAAGAAAGTTACAAATGGATTAAGGGTCCAGTTAAATTTGGAATATTGACTTTTACTGTAAGATTTTGGAATTAACTATATATATAAAAAAAGCTTCTTGTGGGAACCAGAGTTATATTGGCTATCTTGGCTCATAACAAAGATAAGTGACTTTATGATTTTAGAAACTGGACACTAAAGATTCGAAGCAAAAGAAAAAAAATACAAACCAGCTTTTGGTGTCGGTTAACTGGAACTTACAAAATGACACAAAAATCGTAACATTGAAAATATTAAAGGAGAACTTTGAAGAATGGAGCCAGAAATTAGTAGCTACAGTATCAACACTGTGATGATATTGGATAGATTATGTCCAAAAATTGTCAGCGAGGGAGTGACAAATGTGGAGCAAATTTTGTCCGACAAGACAAAGTGCTAAAAGTAGAACTACACATGACAGGTCAAGAGAATGATTTGGAAAAGGACACTTTACTGGATATACAAAAAAACTGGCTGAAGTTTTATAAATTAAAAGGGAAATACAAATGACAAACCAAGAGAATGATCTGGAAAATGTTTTCTTATTGGATCTACAAAAGAGGCTTGTTAAAATCTTGAAGAAGTCTGTGCGATGGGATAAAGAAGAATTGAAGGGAAATAACATCCTGCAACAATGAATGAACTAAAGATTAAGACTATTAGAAGTAAATAGAAGGAATGTAAAGTTGGTTTATTTGATCATGATTAAAATAAGAAATTTATTTGCAAAGTTCTGGTAACCCTTTACAGACTTTTTGCTGACACCAGGATTGAAAAGTTGATGTTTTTATTCATCACCTAACAGCTAAGTGTTCTACAAGGAGAAAAAACAAACAGGATGGCTGCATTTCTCTACCTCCTGACACAACTTGTCTCCCATTTTTCATGCTGCTCTTTCATCAGTCCCCAGGAAGATTAAGACCACTTCACAAGTTCACCAGGGAGGCAGCATTTAACTGGGGATGAGTGAGGGATTAGGAGCAAGACATCCACATCCCAAAGGCTCTACTAATCACATCTCCTGTTGTCCCTTCAAGGAGCCCATCATGTTAGTGAGAAACGCAGCCACCCTGGAAGACATTCATGGGGTCCCCCCAACCAACTTTCTAGACTGAAGAAGCTGCTTGGACAAGCAGCAAACGTGTCAAACCAAAAGAAAAGGAGTCCAGTTGCCATGACTCAACCTCCAGCATTTACCAGCAACCTATGCAAGTCTAACCAACAAAACCGGTGCAACACCCAGCCATTCTGGAGAAGGACGGCTTTCTGGAAAAAATTGGCCAATGTGGATAATCAGTATTCCGGGAGGAGATGAAAGCCCCTCCCTCCCGCCAGTTAATTGCCACCACGATATGGGGAAAGCAAACGTTTCATTCGCAAAGAATCCTACACAAGGATCCCTGACTGGGAAGGTTAGCGGATGTGGAGGGTGTGTTATGTGGCCCTAAGCTGCCTACAGACGCATGCCCAAAGGGTGTAGTTTTTACTCTTTCCACAGCAAGGTGCTTAACGGGCCTTCAATGATTCCCACGTCTGTGTGTTTGCCGCGAGGTGTGCGGCATCCCGCCTTCACTCTGGAAAAGGAAAGGCCAATCTAGCCTTTACTCGTTATACATCTACAGCAATCGGGTTTCGCGTAATATACAGCATATACGCACGATGCACACCGCGCATTTTTTTTTTCTTTCCCTTTTAAAGAGATCACACCCATTTATAGGGAAGGGAAACGCAGCTTCCTTTCCTCCCTGGAAAAGCAGCTCCCGAGGAGGCGCGCTACGGCCAATGGCTGCCGCTTTTTCCAAAGGAGCCGGTCGCCCGCCTCGCCTTCCCGGGGGTGCCTGCTCCTTCTGCTCAGCCGGCGGCCCCCGCGCCTTCGCCCGGCG